AAAATGGTAATGTAAGATTTTCCTCGTCAAAATTAGTCAAAGGGAAGTGATAGGTTATTCTTCTGTGCCAATTAAAGCAGTGAGTTCTGTGAAGACTGCCCACAAAGATGCCCATGCAATGGCCCAGGGGACCAGGAGAGAGACAAAAGGGAAAAGAACCCACATCCCATCACTTCTAACACTATATGAGGTTCCAGTCTCAGTTAAGAAGCCTGTCTGGTCTGGTGCCTCCACTCCCTCTGAGACACTGACGTGTCTCACTTCTGTTCTCTCTAAGTCAGGCTAAAGACACAATTATGAAAACTGTGCACTGCTGTTGGTCAACCTGTGCCTGTTCTCTGCTTCATATTTTTTAATTTACAAAAATAGCTTAATTTAAAAAATCCCAGAGGCCAGATTTATGCTGATTTACACTCTCTGAGACTATTCTCTTAAATGGCATTATGTTAAGTTTCAGAGAGAGGCCCAACTTCCAATAGTATTAATAGCATAAATTCATGGCCTTTAAATGAACCCTTTAAAATTAATGTCTGTTTTTATGAACATATGAGAGGCTGTCAAGGACATGGTCAAGTTTCATATTCCTAAAACAGGTAGCTAGGCAACAAAATCTGGAAAATCCAAACCCCCAAAATAAGGTCACTATCACAAATCAATCTAGGTTCATGGAGGACAAAAAGAGGATATGAAAACTTTTTGGGCTTCCCAGCCTCAAGAGCTCCAGAGACAAATGTCCACATCATCACATTTAGCATCCTACACATTGCCACATTTATGATATATGATACTGTCTCCATCTTACTAAGCCAAATTATAAGGCAGAACAAACATGTACATTCAGTCATAGAATCACACAATGAGGATGAACAAATTACTAGCTAAGAGGCAGTTTTCTGCTCGGTGAATGAGAAGAATCATCGGAGAAACAAATTATTGTGTTGCTTTCTTCCCAAAGTCTTTCCTTTCCGTACAATGGGAGTGACACTGTTGTAACCAAGCGAGACCAAGTAAATAAACTATATTTAAAAAGGGGGGTTTCTGTAGCATTTAGAAGACAGGAACCTCCTACCAATCTCTGGAGCATTAGGAGAGCTGGTGGATCTGTATAGGCATGGATCCACCTTTACTCATTTCACATTATGGGACAAGGCCTGTGCCTAGTACTGCTCTGTTGTTTACAGGAGCTGCAGCTCCACCTCTAAAGAGTCTCCTGCTCTCTTCAGAATGGAATTATATTGAGTTTGCTGCATTTGGGGCCCTGCATACTGGTGGTGTGCATTATGCATAGAAGTTAGTGAACACTGATAAAACTTCAAGAGAACTATCTTTTCTTGAGGGCTAACCTTAAGAAGAAAATAAATTAAATATCCTTATAATATTCCAGCCCATTAGAGTTTCATAAGGAAAGACCAAAAAATCATTTCAAAGGGTGTGTGTGGGGGGAAGGGGAGGAGGGCATATACCCCAAAGAAAACCCAGAAATATTTTCTTTGATACACTAGAGATCAGAATTTGATCCAATTTCTCAGAAACATTGCTTTAAGGTATTGGGCACAGAGTTTTAAAAAATCTGTATTTATCAACAGCTTCATCAGAATGTTATGCCAGATGCCTAATATAACATCTTCACAATTTTGTTAGTTGCTCAAATTGCAGCTTGCAGCATGCATAAACCAGGGTTTACGCATACAGACAAAATACATTGTTAATGCTTTGTCGACACAATCACTTTTTTTCCTTTGTACACATACCCTGGGTGTATCTAGACTGGCAAAAACTTGCCAGCTGTCTACACTGGCCGCTTGAATTAGCGCAAGAGCACTGACTTTGTAATGTACAAAATCAGTGCTTCTTGCGCAAATACTTTCACGCTCCTGCTTGGGAAAAAGCCCTCTTGTGCAAGAATACTTGCGCAAGAGGGCCAATGTAGACAGGGAAGAACTGTTTTACACAAAAAAGCAAAAAAGCTAAAAAGCTAAAATGGCGATTGGAGCTTTCTTGCGCAAAAATCGCATCTAGACTGGCCACGGATGTTTTTGCGCAAAAGCACTTTTTGCGCAAAAGCATCCATGCCAATCTAGACGTGCTTTTGCGGAAATACTTTTAACTGAAAAACTTTTCCATTAAAAGCATTTCCGCAAAATCATGCCAGTCGAGAAGCAGCCAAAGAGCCCAGCTTGATTTTTAGAGCTTGAGTTGAATATGCAAGACTAATGGTTACAAAATCCATCCTTTACTTATCAAATGAATAGAATATAGAAATCATGGAAATAATAAATATAAGGTCCACAATGGCATTGTTATAAACATGCTTTTTCAGATCAGAACTATCCTTTTACTCATCTTTGAAAATAAAACCTAGGGATCCAGTCATCTGGTGTAGATAGATGCTATATAGAAATATTTCATAGCAGTGCTTTCTCTTTTATCTGCTTAAGTTACTTGTTTCATTCCACCCCACACATCTGTCTATAGTTATTCTTATTAGTAAAACTATGTTGGCACCATTATAAGCTTTTTTCATAAATGCCTTTTTTCTTTGATAAGTATTATCAATACTAAGCAGCTTGTCATTGATGAAAAAGAGGTTTCTTCTTCTTTTTCTCTGTCAGTTTCATTTGACGATTTGCCACCCACACACTAAGAGCTTTTCCTACCAGTATATCTGAACCCTCATATGGTCACATTACTTCTTGATAAACTTTTACAATAATAAAAAGCACATTTGAATGGCAGTGACTCATTTGTTTTAAATTTTAGATTAAATAAAGGGCACAAGTGGTATCATGGGACATGTTATACAACACAGAAGCAGTTACGTAATAGGTTAGCATTTTCTGTAACTTGTTGATACCAGTATGATTGTAATTATTTATTATTTGAATACCGACACTGTTCTCAGTGCCACGCAGAACATTTTGCACCACTCTCTAGCCTGCAGCACTTAGTTTTCTAACTGCCATATTTTCAACAACATGGGGAGTGGATGTCTTGTTTTGATACAGGCTCTTTTATTCAAAAGGATCCCAATGTATGATTTTACACATTCTTTGGATTTAGGAATGACTTGATCCACCACTGAAATGGAGCTTGAGGTAGATTTCTGGAGTGACACATGAGCTGTTTAGTAGCAATCAGCACCACTATACAGCTGCTTAGGGGAGGAAGTAAACACTGTGGCTACGTCTAGACTGCAAGCCTCTTTTGAAAAAGAGAATCTAGACTACAACCAGTACTTTTGAAAAAGCAAGTCGCTTTTTCGAAAGAGAGCACCCAGGCAGTCTGGATGCTCTCTTTCGAAAAAACACAGTTTGTATTATATAGCACTTTTTTTCAAAAGAGCACTTTCCAAAACAAGCGTTCTTCCTCATAAAATGAGGTTTTCCATGGTCAAAAAAACTGCTGCATTCTTTCGATTTACTTTCAAAAGAACACGGCAGCAGTCTAGATACATGGGAAGTGTTTTCAAAAAAAGGCCACTTTTTTTTTTGAAAAAACCCTGTAGTTTAGACCAGTGGTTCTCAACCATGGGCAATATGGCTCCCCAGGGGCCACACCCTACCTCTAGGGGACCACATGGAAAAAACAGAACATTAGGTAAATTATGCACCTATTTTTCCAAATAAAAGCGGCTATGAGGGGGGCCACAGAGATAAAAGAGGCTCAGAAGGTGGCCATGAGCAAAAAAAGATTGAGAAACACTGGTCTAGACACACCCTGTAAGTGAACCTCTGTCCAGAAAGAACTCAAGTAAGAGTTTTGCCATTGACTGTAATGAGACCAGGATCTCACCCTACACCTAAGAAAATTGCAGGATGATTTTTAGGCAGGATCAAGCTCATTACAGAATAGGAACTTGGTGAGAACATCAGATAGTGGTCCTATTCTTGCTAAAAGTGCTATGGAGTCCTTATTAGATGCAATTAGAACAGACCTTGGTTTCATAAACAAAAGACGAACATTTGTTTGTTTTGGAATCTGAATCCAAGATGTGGGAATACTCCACATAATAAGTTCATGGCTGGTTCTCAAATTGTTGATTGTGAAAAAAATCACAGACTTAGCAGGTTTGAGTAATTCTTTTGTGTTTAAAAGCAGAAACTTGTACTACTTGTTAAGAGCTATGCTTTGTTGTTCACAACGTGCACTCCTCCCTCAAAAAAGATTGTGAAGATTAGTTTACTTTTTAGTTTAATAATTGAACTAGAAATCTGAATGGTCTATGCAAAACGTTATCAAGCTGTTGAAATTCTAACAAGATGTGTATGCTATGCAAGGTCAAGCCAAGTTTTGAAAAAAAAAGGAAGTTTATATATGGGCTTCAAGGCTGAGAGGTAAACATAAGGGTAAATTTCTTCAGAATGACCTAACCTGATTATGAGAGAAGGGAATTTATTTAGTGTAGAGCAAGGCCATTATTTTCAAATTTGGTGACACTGATTGTAATAAAGTCTACCTACACTGATTATATTTCTATTGTAGCTATGACTATGCAGAATAAATACTTATATTCCCCACCTCATTTTCCTCCCCTTTGTACATGTGGGAAATACAGCCATGATTCTATCTACCACCAAACACACAAGTAAGGACCAATCCTTCCTCTCTGCCCAACAGCACAGGACACATTCACAGAATAGTTCTTAAGGAAAGATGTTAGCAGCTGGCACAGATTTTGTTTGGAATTGCCAGATTTCCAAAGGTGTAGGACACATTCCAGAAACCTGAGTTTGGAAAGAGCTTCATAACTGGTGTTATACACACAATACTTTGCAAGATCTGTCATTTTTATGCCACCTTCTTAGTATCTCACTGCAATGGAATGAGATATTAAGCCCCACACATTATTTAGGACTGTTCTTTGCTCAGATAAGGCCCAGTTCTACTTCCATTGAGTTCAATAGGAAAGCTTCTTCGAAATTCACTGATGAAGGATCAGGTCCATGATTCTATTCAATGCAATTTCAGATGGTGCAATGGTTAAACTTATAAACTCTTACCTGGGGGGTCCTGATCTTCTTCTCCATTTTCTGAGTCTGCAGACACATGCCAGGAGACATAGCCCAACAACAGGAGTAAGGCAGTAACTAAGAAACAGCCTCTCTTCATTTCTTTAGTCTTTCTGAATAATATACAAGTATAATAAACACTTAATGAAGTGTCTTGAGAAAAAGTGCAATTCAAAAGAATTTTTATTAGTACAAGTACAGTAAACTTCTACCTGTATGACTAAATCTACAGTAGCTCATGCAAGAATCACATCTCTCTCTCACACACACACGTAAAATACATACCCACATGTGTCTAAAGAAAACACAGTCTTAGATTCTCAACTGTACTCTTCAAGCCAGAGCAACCAACTAGTTACATTTATTTTAAGCCACAATTTAATTCCAATCCAAGTGCTTGCATTTTTTTTTTTTGATAAGGCACTTAAGTTTCTAAAGCCAGCTTCAGTTAAACTCTGTAAAGAAGAATTTTGTTGTACAAGTGATCAACTGAATGGGACTGCACAACAGCCAGGTGTCTATCTGACAGAAAACATATATTTGTAAAACAGAATATGATCAACTTGAATTAATTGGCCGTATTTCCTGCTTGTAAAATTTCATTGAAGTAAATAAAGAGAGTCATGCCAGCAGAGAATTCAGACCTATATATTTCTTCACATAATTTATCACCTCTATTGACTAGCGTTCCTTTTCTACTATTTAGCTTCTGAGTTTCTAAAATAACAAGTTTAAAGCAATTTTTTTCAAAGCATGTCAGTGCAGTTTCTTTGTGTACACAGCTCTAAGCTTGCAATCATTTGAATACAGAAAAAAAGAATTCTGCAAGCAAAAATGCTACTTGTACACATGAGTAATAAAGAATGTTGGGGTGTATATGAAAATCTAGAAGACTCTTTTTGAAAAAGACTTTTTGCAAATCTAACCCTTGATGGCTACTTTTGTTTTGTTTTCACCTTCAAACGAACCAAGTATACCGTAATTGTTCCCAAACACTGAAGTGTACAGTGTGATCACTGAGAAAAAAATGTCCACACATCAATTTCCCAACAAGAATGGAGCATGCACTTTCTTTCACTTCAAAACAGCTCTCAAATAAGTCTGAGGACTACATTTGGTCCTTTCCCTTCCATTATGCACCCAGAGATTCTCTCACCCTAATAGTACCTAGCTATGGTTCTCTACAAAGATAGTCAGAATCATTGTTGTGCTTCAGGTTAGATCCATCATGGGACTTAGAGGTCTAACTTCTGCTTTAGGTGCCTAGGTCCAGCATAAAGTCCTCACTGAGATTCTCAAAACCTCTCCTCAAATGCCGTCTAATCCTGTAGTGCTTAAATTCCATAGTTGTCTGCATTTTATCCAGGAAAATCTATTGGGCATCTTTAGTTTTCTCTGATTGGCACGTGCAAAACCACCTATGTCCTAATTCTTCCCAATTGCCTTAACAACTCACCCAAGACGGATTCTCATACATTTGACAATCTCTCTCCCACACTGCTTGTAAATTGAGACACATGGAAGAATTGGCCTACCATCTCAATCCTTCTTGCCTGGCTGAACCTGTTACACCAGAGACATGGGAGGTATCATTTACTTGGGGTATTTGAACATGAATTTATGATAGAAATTCTGTTTGAATCAAACTTTGGGCCAAATTTGAGTCAACAAAAAAATCAGAACATTACTAGCTGTAATCTATCATTTCTATCTGCCCAGGAACTTATATGTTCTCATCACTGTAGCATCTAAGCAACCCACAAATATTAATCAAATGTATTCTTACAATAGCCTTTGGAAACCAGGAATTAATATGCCCCCATACAGATTAGTTGACAAGACCTTCAATTTTTCCTTCTGTTTATTCAATTTAATTACAATCGGTGACCTTTGTATTTAAACGAAAGAAGAAATGAAATTCTGAAAACCAAAATGTAGTGAAAAAACATAGAGCAGACAATGAGAATTACAAATAATTTGTAATGCAGGGGTTATCCAAAGTTCAATCTGTTTCCAGTAGGGCTCTACAGACTTTTCCCACTGAAAGTGTATTCAATATTTCATGTGGCTAGTGATGGTGAGGTATATTTTCATTCAGTGTTTTCTACAAGAAATGAGATATTTGGATTGAGGGAGTTGCTTGCATTGTTAAAGTCTTTCATAACTTCCCTATATTTTTCTGCCAAACTAAACCAAGAAATACGTTTGCCTTTCAGTTGTTTCATGTGCTTCCTTTCTGCTCTCAGTCCCGCCATGTTAAATACCCCATCCATATTCTATTTTGGCAATGTTTCAAGAAGTTAAAACCCAGGTTGTGTTTTATAGCATTTAAACCTCGGCATATGGATTAGATTATATTTGTAGAACCAGATTTGGAGAGGATTAATTTCTGCTTGGGATACGATAATTGGTCTTTGTATGAGGCAAACTAATTTTTCATAAAAAAATAGTTCTGAAAAAAATGTAGAAATAGCAATAACACGAAAGTCCTCACCGCATATTGTCAAGAGAGGTTCCAGGGTAGCTTTCACAAAGGTAGGTTTTATGCTCCCCTGCCCAGTTATTGTGTAAGTAGTCCCTTGAGTTTCACTGGCATCACTCATGGGGAAAAAGGGGCTTTTAGGGTTGGACACTAAGCAAGAATATCATGATACCTTCCCAAACACTAATTGTTATTTTCATTAGATAAATATTCCTTCCTTTCTGGCTCTATGTGGCAGCATTGCTAGAACTATTATAGTGGCTTGCATCATTGGATAGAAAATACTGACCATTATAGAGTTGAATGATCCATAGGAAGTTTTCCTACTAGAGGAATTTCTTATTAGCTTATAGAATTCCTTAGCTTATGACTACAATAGCTTCCCACATTTTCTCCAAAAAGAAGTTCTGTTGTTTTCTTCATCAACTACTAAATGACTTTCTGATGCCAAATATTTTAATTCATTCATTTCAATGCTGCCATCTGAAAATACTTGAATGTTTTACCTCTCCCTGCCATCTGCATTAATCTTTCTGAATCGCCTTTAGATTCATAAGCTACGTCTACGCTGGCCCCTTTTTCGGAAGGGGCATGCTAATTTTGAAAGTGGGAATAGGGAAATCCGCGGGGGATTTAAATATCCCCCGCGGATTTAAATAAACATGTCCGCCGCTTTTTTCCGGCTTGGGGAAAAGCCGGAAAAAAAGTGTCTAGACTGGCCCGATCCTCTGGAATAAAGCCCTATTCCGGAGGATCGGGCCAGTCTAGACGCTTTTTTTTTGGCTTTTCCCCAAGCCGGAAAAAAGCGGCGGACATGTTTATTTAAATCCGCGGGGGATTTAAATATCCCCCGCGGATTTCCCTATTCCCACTTTCAAAATTAGCATGCCCCTTCCGAAAAAGGGGCCAGTGTAGACGTAGCCATAGACTTTAAGGTCAAAAGGGACTGACTCTAGCTCGACTGCTCTGTGGACACTGCAGGGCACAGAATCTCACTCACCCACTCCTGCAGTAGGCCCGTAATCTGTAACTGAGTTACTGAAATCCTCTACTTTGTATTTAAAGGCCTCAAGTTACAGAGAATCCACCCTTTACTCTAGGTGGAATAACCTGTGCCCCATGATGCAGAGGAAGATGTGCCTTCCACCTCCCCATACCACACACACACAATCTTGCCTGAGGGGAAATTCCTTTCTGACCCAAATATTGCAATCAGTTAGACCTGAAGCATGTGGGCAAGATTCACCAACCAGATACCCAAGAAAGTTACTACAGATAATTCTATGTGCCTTTCCTCTATAATGTCCCATCTCTGACAATTGGACATAACACCTGTAAATGCCTGCAATGGACTGTGTGAGTGTCAATCTCATACCATAACATCCATAAACTTTATCAAGTCCAGTCTTAAAACAAAACTAGGTGGCTTGCTCCGTTACCCTTTGTTATAAAGTCCTTCCTCTTGCCTTTGTCCTTTTCTGCCCTATAGTATTCTTGTCCTAAACAACATCTTCAGCCTCATGCCCTCCATGTAAAGATTAGAGAGACCTAGAACACTTTGCCCCAGGTGAACAGAAGACTGTCTTTATTTCCTGGCAACACAGACCCTTACCTTCTCATTATACGTTACCTACAGAACACACTGAACAGAGGCTCTAACCAGTACCAAATGCTCATCTTCTTCCCTCCCTTAACAACAGTTCAATCCTTCCAGACAAAAACTTTATTTATAAAAAACAGGTTTTTTCAGTGTAATCTGCATGTAGAAAGATACATGTACACCTACCCATACAATATAATAATGTTATGTATATTTAGTGGGTCTCTTAAATCATTCAGTTAACAGACCTAAATAATGGAGGGGTTTTATCACAGTGCCCAATGACCACTGTGTTTAATGCTGTTTCCATGTCACAGCTTGTCCTGGTTGATGCTTAGAATTTTTTAAAAATCTGCTTATTAAGTTTAGCCTTGCCCCTGCTTTCTCAAAATATTAAGCAAGACAATTATCTGAAATATTTGCTGCCAGCCCCCCTTGCCTTTTGAAATCTAGACCAGGACATATTTTACAAAGTTGCCAGCAGCATGTGCTTCCTTCAGGAAGTATTTGTGCTCTCCCATCTCTGAAGGGCTTGGACAGTCTCCAGGATCTAATCAGTCAAAAGGGCAAAGGACACATTTCTATCTTAAGTGATATTTGTTCCGTGCATGAAAGAAAGAAAGAAAAAACAAAGAAACACTGAGAGGAATCTAGGAGGACTGCCCCGAAGTTGCTTAAGCTTCTTTTCATGATTCTAATTTCCCATGTAATTCTAGGAACTGCATAACAACAATGCATGTGCAAATAAAATAAAACAAGCTTGTGTGCAAATAATATAGCATCAGTATAGTGACACAAACCCACAAAATTGGTAAATAAGAAATATAACCAACTGATTCCTTTAAATACCTAAATTCCCAGCCATCTTTATCCACTGTGACTATGATACTACTCATCATGAGTAACAGTGGCAAAATGTGCCATTTGAGGTTTCCCTACTGCAGCCTTTGTGTGTAGGTTGTGGATGCATCTTATGTATTTTACCACGGTCTTTCTTTTCTTGTGTAGGTTTGTGGTCCAAATTTAGGAGA